TATACACAGCTGAGACGATAAAAGGACCATAAAGCGGTGTGGTTTATGACAAAAGACGGCACTAGCCCAGAACCAACGCAACCGAAATTGATTAGCTGTCAAAGTCTAAGGTATGTAAAATAAAATAAATATTGTTTTATTTGTTTCCCCCCTTGTTTTATGTACCGACCTTTGCCCATTATTATTTGCTCTCCCAAACCCCTGTCTCATGATCTGGCGACCGAGTTTCGGCAGATCTCCTATTCCACGTAGTCTCCCCAGAACTGATACGGGTTCAACGTTCAACCGCCGTACCTCAGGATTTCCACAAGTAATACTTGACGACTCATCGAGCAATTTTTTCAGCTACTCTCCAACGATTTTCTGTCGCTACAGTTTGAATTTCTTTACGTATCAAGGGGAATCGGTGGCGAGATCGCGCAGGATCGCACGACTAACGCCAGGCCTCATCGACTCCCAGCTGGTCAGCGTGCTTTCTTCCCTTCCCTTGCCGATGCCTTCTTTGCGTCCTTCAAGTGCTTCGCGAGGTTCCGTAGCTTGGCGTCTGAATATATTTGCGCGTTTCGTCGGTCGCCAGGCTGAATCGGCGCAGTTCTTTTCAGCAGGCTGTAAATATCATCCATCAGCCGGACTATCGTACTTGAATTCTACGTTCCGCTGTAGCTCCTTGTGGAGTCCGAATACCCCACCTCGGCTTCCCCTTGATCCTGGAGCCAGTGGCGCAATGTTAGTATATCAGCGCTGACGAACAGTTGTAGGGCAAGCAATACGGTTTCGGAAATCAGTGACCTTCACCTCCTTCGCCTGACCTGCCAGGACTCTTAGCACCAGCCGACGCAAGATCTCCAATATAATGCGCCAGCTCCTCTTTATTTTACTCGTGCGCTGTTGCACACGCTCAAACTAGGAGCCATGATCTTGCATTGTCTTCCGAGTGACTCGTCACGAACTCTGCGGAATCAAGTATTCGACTCTGAAACTTCGATATGGCTTCATGCGCGCATCGTTTGGCGGGACGGTGTCTAGAAGTTTGGCATCCTGATGATCATCTTGGAGCAGTTGCAATCATGCTGACCTTTAACGTGCACCGATTGCATATCAATCAAGTGCCACGTTTCTGCCCCCCCGGAAAGGCTCTCCGAAAGTCTTTTTTTTCCTCTAAAGGAGCACTGTTGATTGATTTATTTTGAAATGATAATATTACGCCCACGACACCCTTTCAAAATCCATACGGGTCATTTTTTTCGTTCCCGCCGCAACATTGTAGATATGTACAGTGATAATGGTAAAACCACGCCACTATACAAATGGCTATAAATCTTGCACCTCGAGGTGTAGTATAAAGTAGCGGATACCATCAGACCATCTGAAGCAAAAGATTTAGGGCGCACAACTTCCTGCTGGCCATTACGCCATCCCGGTCTTCGTGTCAGCAAGTATTCCGCAAGCGACGGAAGCATAGACGTCGCAGATCCAGCGGATGGATGGCGAGCTGATCGACAGACAGTGCTAGGCGGTGGTTATCTCAGTATGTGCACAATGTTCAATAAGTTGAACCCTCCCGACTGCAAAAACAATGACTAGATCAGCATCGGGAGTGACCGCGTGGATCCAAAGAGGACGCTAAAGCACACACCGACTGAACCACGTATAATGCAACGACCAGTACAAGTAGAACACTAAGCACGATGGGATGGCCATCAGAGGATATCTGCTTGCCAGTGCCAGAACTCCTCGCAGCGCAGCCGAACTAGAAATAAAACCATAAATGAACCGATCCCCCATCCGCACATCGGAGGGGTGGCACGCGGGCGATGAGACAAGATGTGGCGTCACTGACTTCAGCATTGTGAAGTATAAAAAACAATTTGCTTAATTTTCAAGCCTATTTGAGGTCTTGAGATGTGGATCTTGCTCGATGACCATTGGTCTGTGTCTTTGGCGTTGGTGGCGGGGCACAATAGCAAGCGAAGGAGACTGGTAGTTTCAAAAACAGCCGGTGCCATAAGTCCATAAGCCTATGTACTCGCTCGCTCTATAGTGAACTTGAAGGACGTGCGGGCAAACACCCCAGGAAAGAATGTGACGTTCCGTGCGAGTAACGAATGCTGGTAAAGCCATCCGAGTCTTTCCTGTCAGCACTTCATGGCCCATAGGGATCTCCACCATAACGACTGAAGAGCGTTGGCCGTGCTCGAGAGAATCGTTTGCTGATTCACGTTGATAGGGGGAGCCTCGTGTGGCGAGAAACGTTGAGAAAGGCCGGTCGCACGAATGGAGGCTATGGAAGTAGGAAACATAATTTAACTCTGGAGGTAAAATTACATAAATACCCGCGTTAGCCCGCCAACAAACAGAGACTGTTAGCAGCAAGAGGATGGTGGTGGGGAGCAATAAAACAATAAATATATTTACCTTTGACATTTGACTAATTTTGGCCGTCCGCGTCAGGTTTCTGGAGGCTGGGACCAGAAATCAGGGTTAGCATATCTTTCCTAAACCAAATCGCTGTTCAGTTCTTGTCTTGGCTTTACACACTCATCCGATGAGCTATTCTTCATAGATACTGGTCGCTCTATCGAGATCCCCTGTGCTGGAATTGGCAGCGATATGCGCTTCCAAAATGGTACCCAGTTTTTGAACCCCAGGCAGTACTAATACTAATAGCAAGCAGCTTGCCTGCACCTTTTGTGTGTCCTTTCCGCAGCTCCATCGATTGGCCGGAAATTAGGAGTATTCTTGGTATGCAGGCATAACAGCCTGGCTGGCATTACGGGGGGGAGCTGGCTGGCTTACCACGTCGACAACTGCTCTGTCTAGGCACCGCAGGTGTTCAATACCGCCAATGTCAATCGTTTAATTTTATAGACCCCAAAGGTGCGCAGATCTCTGCCGCCACAGCGACGACCGGTGTCTGGATGGAGCAATTCGTGTTGTCGGACATGACTCACGTAAAAGTGGCTTCGAAATATGACATTTCCACTCGCGCCGAATTTCCCATTAGCTTCATTCTCCATGGTTGCTTGAACTTGTCAGAAGACTCGGCTTTCTCATGAGGCGCTTGGCGATTCGTGACTGCATATCTGGTGACGCGGTCAAACACGATCTCGATAATTCAGGTCGTGTACTCTTGTATGACATGCTGCATTGTGCATATTGGCATCTAGTTGGATTGGTGAGTGTATTAATCAAGTGTATGAATCATATTAAGTTGCTGTGATTGACTCGCCTGAACTGTGACTTCGGGTGTACGTGATGTGACACGTGTCACGCCTTCCTGGTCATTGTGAATGCAGGCGAAAGGTGTAGACTTGGATGCATCTAGTATGCGTATAGGAGAGCTCTCATGAGTATAGTTATGCCTACGCCATGATGGATCTCGGCTGAAGGCCGTGATTGGGCTACAAATTCTGGGTTTCATGTTTTACTTTGCTCTGGTCTGACGGTCACGAATATCCGCATTCCGTGCGCGGATTTGGGAGACTAGAGACTAGAGAAAGACCTTTCCATCTGCTTTGAACTTGTCTATTCATTGCGAACTGGAGGACTGATTTTGTGTTCGTTTAGTGAATATGTCAGGAAACTATGATGCACGTACGGTTGATGATCATGTTGTTGACCAACTTATGCTGCAAGAATTCATTGTCATGACCAGACAGTAACTAGTATTGATGTGGTAGCCACAGGAGCTTGGCTGTCCGCATGCAAATTAAGGTAAAGAAGTTGTCAAACACGGCTTAGGCTATATGAAAACCTCCGTAAATTGTCTGCCGTTCGCTTCGCCTGTCATAACGGCGATAGCACGACTGGCATTCACATTTGCATCTAAGACTTTGTCCCACTGTTTACCTGCGCCCACTGAGATATTTCGTCCAATGAGGTCACCCCAGCTGCATTTCCCGTCAATTTCTCTTGTTCTCTCCCGTGCTCAATGTCTGATGCACTCGCCAAACCATCTCCCGAAACGTTTTTACCAGCAGTCGGTCACACCCTTGCTTCCTGTCTATCATGACGACAATATGGTGAGTTGTCGATGTTGATGCGTTGGAGTCGCCTGACAGACATAATGCTTAAGCAAACGATGGATGAGCGTAACTCGGTTCCTCACGTAGGCCTCGACGTGACCTTGGTGCGTCGCTCCGTGGCTCTTTTATAGTCAACTTTAATAGAACAGTAAACTTCGCAGCCGTCCATCCTTGAAACCGACGAGGAGCTGGCCAGTCAGCAGGAGGTCCTTGCCGGGAATGAGCTTGATGACGCAGCTGTCAAAAGAAAAAATCTGATCTATTCACTGGTTATTGTACACATTTTCGTCACATTTCCTCCATCGAATAGAACCTAATGACAGTTACCCCTAGGCCCTAGCTCTAGCCCTCAAGCGCAAATTCCGTGGTTTTTGCGTCAAAATTCACAAAGCTGAGGCCGACTCCGAAGCGTCGGCTCAAAACCCCACTTGATATTCGGCAGTGTCCCCGGTATACGTGTTTCCTTGTGGGCGGATTCTTTGCTAGAACTTGAAGCTGGGAATACCTATAATATTTGCGTATGACAAATGCTTTATCAGATCCTTCTCAAAATTCTAGCTTCCTTCGTTCTATTGCGATACAAGTTTTAAAATACCGTGGGTTAAGGTATGCGACAAGCTTCTGCTGTCTCAATATTTGGAAGCTCAATTTCGGCTTGAGGATTTGCGACGATCAATCTTCTGGGGGGTTCAGGCCACTGCAAGAACAAAGCAGCCACTGCGGACAGCACTCTGACAAGGAACGCTCGTCAAGTTGCAACCCCTGCAAGATATAAATAATGGGCCTGCTAGTCCGATTTTGTCGCGGACTATCCCCGACTCTCTGACAAGAGAGGACGGTTCTGTCGATCGGGGATTGGCGCCCTGCGCCGCTACGATTTCCCATTACGTCTGAGGCTATCGAATAGAAATTAAGAATCAATAGGAAACCACGTGTTTAGGTTGACGATGGTATAATTTTTAAACTTATGTTGGTGGCCGTGTGGCGAAATGGCATCGCGTCTGACTACGAAATCTGTGATCAGGAGATTGCAGGTTCGAGACCTGTCTCGGTCATACGTTTTTGACGACAATTTGACGACAATTTGGCGTCTCCTGGCGCAAACTTATGGCCACTACATTATCTGAATACGTCTCCACGCTCTCGCTACGCCACTTTATGCCTGTTATTTTCGAAACAGCACATCCACAACAAATTGGCTCTTGGGGATTTCTCAGATGGATTTAAGGTAAGATATAACCTACAATAAATTGTGTCAGATATCGCCAAGTGTATGAGCTATTTGACAGATATATGGAAAGAAAAGGCCTAACCTTGATGACACTGAAGAACTTAGCAACTGTTAATATTTAAATATTATGCGGTTTGACTCATGCTTCAAGAGGTGGGCACCGTTTTAGAATTTTGATTGAAAACCATTGCTAGGTACTACGTATGACATTAGTATACTCGAATGCTATAAACATGTAGACAAAATCATGGCCGCATTCGTCGAGAGTACGTCCTAATTCAGTTGTTGATTTCACCGGCCGTAGCCAAACAAGTCCGGATATGGTCGTGACTTTTTCCTTAGTAATTTTTATCTGTACCATTATGCCTCGACGCCCATCGAAATCAAAAGGTGCCAACAAGTCAAGTGCGCGGCCTGTAAACCGTGCTGCAGGCAAAATCAAACGATGGGACAAGCTCTCCGACATTCCAATGGACGAGGAAGACCAATGTATGCTTGTTTGTTTTACTGCCAGCATCGCAATGTTGTTTACTAGCCTTGTCGTTTCTAGTTCACACATCACGCGATAAAATTCTTCTCGAGGGAGATGAGTCTGGTGGTGAAGATGATGGCGACGAGGATGAAGTATTTGGATTACAGGGGCTCCCTGAAGAGGATTCAGACGATGAGGACAATTTGGACCAAGGCGAAGACCAGGAAGATGTAGACATGGAACAATCAACTTCAAAGTCTAAATCCAAGAAATCCAAGGGCAAGAAATCAACCGTGAAAGAATCTTCCGAGTCGTCCGAACCGGAATCGGATGAAGAGACATGGGGTCGCAACAAATCGGCCTACTATTCCTCAAATGCAGCACAACTCGAGTCGGACGATGAAGAAGCGAATGAGTTGGAAGAACAAGAGGCTAAGCGTTTGCAAGCTAAAGCTCGAGATGCCATGGACGAGGATGACTTCGGACTGGGCGATCCACATGACATTGTAGGAAGACAAATTGACGTCGAGTGAGTGTCATATCAATTGATTTGTCTCTTGTTTAATAACACTTATAGTGACTTTGCGGAGCCAACGGCGCAGGTCGTTGAGCCTTTACCGCAGGACAAGCAAACTCTCATCCGGTATCTTGAGAAGACGAGTCCAGAAACCCTTGCATTGGCTCGGGATTGGGATGATACGGCTTGGAATCTCATGAGAAGTCAAACAAAGATTAAAAAGTGCGCCATTTCAAGTACTGTTATGGCACTACTAACAAGTTTGCAGGCTAGAGGCAGAGTCACCTGACGCACTCAGCCTCGGAATGGTGCACCTGCACTACCGTACGTATATCCTTTGCCTTTTCATCTGGCCTGCTAACTATCAACTACCTTCTCTAGAAACTCTGTTGACATATGCCACAACCCTTGCCTTCTATCTTCGCATGCGGTCAAGCGAACAATATGCACAACGTCCCGAGCTTCTGAAATCACACCCTATCCTCGCAAGGCTTTTGACGTTGAAGCAGTCACTGTCAACCTTGGAAGAACTAGACTTTGCAGCCTCAGATGAAGAGTCCGATATCGACGACGACGACGAAAGCCTTAGCCTCAATATGGACGGGGACGAGGATGAGTTGGAACAACTATGGAAGTTTGATCGTTCGAATGGCCTAGAAGCCGATGAACTAGATGATCTCCTGATGGACGCTCAATCCTTACTTACCACGTCGAAGTTGGCTGGCGTTTCATCTGCAGACAAACCGCCCAAAAAGAAGCGCAAAACGGACTCGGATTCAAAGAAGCCTGCGCTGCCTGCTTTCGATTTAGTCGAACCAGAATATAATCGGTCCAAAACTTCATCCTCCAATGGTGCCACCGATACAGGTGAACTCGACGCGTACGGAGAAGCCACTTCGTTGCAGCACGCCGACCAAGCGGACAAGAATGCGCGAAAGAAGTCACTTCGATTCCATACATCCAAGATTGAGAGTGCCAGCGCGAGACGCCAAGGCGCCAGGAATAATGCCGTCGGTGGCGATGATGATATACCGTATAAAGAGAGGCGGAAGGAGAAGGACGCACGGATAGCGAAAGAAGCGGAGAAAAAGACCAAATCTAGGGGCCAGGGCGGCGACAACTTGGATGATGTGGAGCCCGAGAACGAGGGAAGGAAGAGAGAAAGGGACGAAGTTGAAGATAGCGATGAAGATGACGGTGAAGACAGCGCAGACGGCTACTACGAGCTTGTCAAGCGGAAAACAAAGGAGAAAAAAGCAAAGAAAAAAGGTGACTACGAAGAGGCACAAGCTGCGGCTAGGTATGTCTCATCTATACAGTACACATTCTTGCTTACATTAAGATCGCAGGCCGGACTTCCAGAATGATACAATCACCGGCCCACGGTCACTTACCCGTGCAATCCTGTCTAATAAAGGCCTCACACCCCACCGATCGAAAAGCGTCCGTAACCCTCGAGTTAAGAAGAGACAGAAGTTCGAAAAGGCGAAAAAGAAGGTGTCGTCTCAGAAAGCTGTCTATAAGGGTGGTATTGGGGATACAGGAAGATATGACGGTGAAAAATCAGGCATATCGAAGGTGGTTAAGAGTGTTCGTTTGGGTTGAGATGTGGTTGGCTGTGCCTTGATATCTACGTGCCAACTTCTGTCCAGGGTACGCAGGAAATTACATCCCATTTGCTGTTGAATACCACATTTTGTTGACGGGCAATTGCACGATCGCGCCCAGACCGTGGTGCGTCTGGTTTCAAGAGTATTCTCGATTAGACCCGGAACTTGGGCAAAATGCCAGGAAATGCCTTGCCACAATCTAGCATTGGTCCATCGTTCATCTCTAGCCTAGAGCTCTGCCCCAACGGAGAATAAACACGGATTCAAAATAAAAACCGGGATGTCTCCAATTCATCTGCTCCTCTTTTTTTGCATTAGACAACCGGTGTGCATAATGTCACCCGAAACTAGAACGTAATGCCATGAGCCATACCTCGTAAGTATTCTGAATCCCTCTAGCGCTTATAACTCGATAGCATCCCTTTTATATACCTACCAGACATCCCATAGGTATTGCACGCGACAGCGCAGACAATTTACTCCGTCTGTAGAAGGACTTGCAAGATATCTGCAAACGAAGAACTCCTTGGAATATCCAGAACTCCGCTATTCGCAGGCACTTTTCCTCGAAATACGTTGCTTTCTTTCTACAGACAGGCATGTCTTGACGAGCCCATCTTTTGTCCCGGAATATTACTCGGCATCCGGCGAGTTCATCTTCTATCACACGAACGTATAGGTACTCCAGCCGAACTCTGTTCTTGTTCTTCTCGAACTCTTGGGATGTCATCCCGGGCTGTTCTTGATTCGACGGTGTGTGTTCCTTAGCTTGCTTAATTATCTCAGTGGAAGTACCCCCACCCCCCTCCATTCTTCCACTGAGATTCTTTAAAACCTTCGGCTATCTGATCCATTCCTGTTATCTCGGTCAATTTAAATTCAATCTGCGATGACACCTACCTCTATCGCCTCTTGCTCCGGCCGTCAGTCCAAATCCAAACTTCGACTGCCCTCCTATATTGCGATCCGATCTATATCCCCACATCTTTTCCCCCACTCTCATTTCATCTATTTCATACCACCCTCCTGACATTCACATCTATAACTTCAATTAAGCTCCATACCTTTTCTACGTTCTCACACTTTCAAAACACATTCGCATCAACACGCAATGTTTTTTGCCTACCCCGTCGCATTCTCTCTCATTGCTCTTCTAACCTCCTTTCTTCCTCCCACTCCTGCTGACGCACTCCCCATTGTTGTCCACCCTCAAATCCAAAGTCACACCTCCCACGACGATATCGACATCACATCGACCAAGGTGCAAACGTCGTATTTGTCACGCAGGACCGTGTACAATCCGAATATCATCAGGCCCGCCCAAGGCGATGATTGGAAAGTTGGGAGTTGGGTTGAAGTTATCTGGTTCGTTGCCCGTTCATTATTCTCTTCCGTCCTTCCGAACTTCGTTCCAATTTTGGTTTACTTATATATATATTTGTTGGTGCAGGGACACAAAAAGCATACCTGACGGGAGTAACCTCGAAGGCAAAATCGTACTCGGACATGTCGAAGAGGGGTCCGAAAATGAACATCTCGATATCGGTATGTATATCAGCCATTCCCAACTTTGTTTCGAACGGCGCTTCTCGCTTCTACTTGAGCTAGCGGGTAACTATTTTCCGGCGCAGAACACTCCCTGGCATCATCTGTCCCAATTTCAACCGGTTCGATCAAAGTGAAGGTCCCAGCCGTTGAACCGGGGAAAAATTATATCATCGTCTGTGCGTCGTCCCTCTGCCCCCTTGTCTCATACTTCTGTCACTAACTACCCGAGGTCGTGTTTTAAATTAGTGCTTGGTGACTCGGGCAATAAAAGCGGAGTGTTTAGCATCTCTACTTGATGTTTTCTGTGGAGTGAAGGACCTGTTGGCTGGTTCGCATGGATACAATATTTTCGTCTCCACCGCGCACGTTGATCGTCGAGGATAGTAGGGCGACTGAATTGAACGTAGATGCAATTTACTGAGGTTTTACTCATCCGCCGAAAAAGAAAACCCAGAGCTATTAACATCATCTCCCCATCATTGACTACGGTTGCCTCTTCAAGTAACTGTGGCACCCGATTGGGCCAAAATATTTGACCTTCCACTACTTCTCGCTCACTGATAGCTCCAAACGTCCATAACGACAGTTGGTTAAAGGATGCGTTCTAGCTGGCTTCACGTTTGAACGTTTGAACACTCTGGCCCTTTCCATCACAGCAGTTGCGTATGTTTGGTGAC